ACAACACTATTACCTCGATCGCAAAATTGAGAAATACTTAGTAAATTAAATTTCAAACCCTTGACTAAAAATACATTATCGATAGCATGGCTAGGTGACTTTCCGACTTTGCCCACGGCTATGATCTCTCCTTTGCCGTTGTCTCCAAATGTCACCTTTCCACCGTTAAATGGCCGAAGTGAGAGGAATAAAGATTTGTCTCCCGTCATGTGCTTAGAACAACCACTGTCAAGGAACCAGTGATTGTTCCCCCTCACTTGGCGCTGTTCCAGGTTTAAGGTTTAGTGCGTGGAACCCAGACCTGCTTGGGTTCCATTTTGTATTTATTTGAGGAAGATCCAACATAATCATAGCATCTATCTAGGGTCTTTTGCCGAGAGTAACATTGATACCGAAGATGACCGATTTTGCCACAATGCATGCAAACTCGGTTATCATAAGTATCAACGTATTTGGGTTTCCATTTACCGTGAAAGCCTCTAGTTCTTTTGTAAAAAGTCCGGTTAGGCGTTTGTCCATAACCGTTTTTGTGTCTCTGAACCAGTCTATCGAACCAGTTTGGTCCAGTTCTAGGTGGCTGTTGATATGGTCTAGAACTGGGTTGTCCTTGGGTTCTTTTATCCTTAAAGGGTTGGTTCTGAAAATTTGTTTTTTGATTAGATCGGATATCCTTTGGAACATATCCGAGACCTGCAGTCTCGTTTACTTTCTTATTGTGCTGAGAAGGACCAGTTCCAGAATGATGTCTAGACCTGGTTTTGTTCGTTGCACTATAGGATTGATATTCCGGTCTATTTTTAAAATCAGTACACTCGGCAACAAGACGATGAAGATGATCAATTAAACAACCAACACTCGGTATTTTTGAGAGAAGCTTTTCATCATGATCAATTTGTTTGTTCATACTATCGAGCTTAAGAGAACAAATAATTTGATCTTGTTCTAGAACCACTTCACTGTACTTAAGCCTTTCATCTACTAACTCTCCCACTTTTGTTTCAAGCCTTATTTTGGCTCTCGTGGCTTCCTCGAGTTTAGACTCAAGCTCAGTGATACGTGATTTAAGGTGATCATTTTCGGAAAGACTTTCATTAAGATCAATAGTCAACCTTTTGAAAATTTTCCGAGTTTTGGTTTTGGATAGAGAGTCAAACTTGGATAGAAAATTTTCAAAGTTTACCTCAAAGCTTTCTTGGTCGGATTCCTCGTCGGAGAGTGCCATAAGACATAGACCCGCATGATTAGAGTTCTTATCATTTTCTTCTTCTTCTTCATCGGATGAGTCTCCCCAAGCGGCCATCATTGCCTTCTTGAGATCTCTATTGAAGCTTTTGTCTTCACTGAACCTCCGGTTGGAACTGGACTTGTTCTTGTCGTAGGTTTTCTCATTTTTCTTTTGTGGACAGTCCTTAGCCCTGTGCTCAAAGGAACCACAAACAAAACAACCTTGGTTATTAAAGGATTGAGTATTCCTTTTACCTTGTTTGGTACGGTTGTTCTTGAACTTTCGGTACATCCTCCCAAATTGTTTTGCAAACATGCTCATCTCATCATCCGATTCACTTTGGGATTCTTCTTCTTCCTCTCGAGCCTTTAGAGCTATTCCTCTTTCTCGTCTAGCATTCTCGGCATCCTGTTCTTCTTGAAGACCCAGTTCATATGTTAAGAGTGATCCGGTCAAGTCTTCAAGCGTCATGGTGGATAGATCTTTTGCTTCTTCAATGGCGGTGGTCTTAGGCTTCCATATAGGGGGAAGGCTTCTCAAGATCTTTCTTACTTGATCTTCTACCGTAATCTCTCTTCCAAGGGCTGAAAGCTCATTGATAATATTAGTAAAACGTGTAATCATATCCTTAATTGACTCTTTTGGCTTCATTACGAATAATTCGTAATTACGCATGAATATGTCAATCTTAGATTTTTTTACACGTGAGGTTCCCTCATGAGTGACCTCGAGCAAATCCCACATTTGTTTTGCAGTCTTGCATCCTAGAACCCGATTGTGTTCGGCAGGACCAAGACCACAAATTAAATATTTAAGGGCTTGGGCATTATGCTCGAGTTTCTCATAATCTTCAGAAGTATATTCGGTTTTAGGTTTAGGAACAACATTACCTTCGGCGTTTCTCTTTGTGATGGCATTATCACCGCTTTCAATTACATTCCAAACCTGATAGTTATCGGCTTTGATAAAGTTCTCCATCCGACTCTTCCAAAATTGATAGTATTTGCCATTGAACAATGGTGGTCGTTGAGTCGAGTACCCTTCTTCCAATCGGTCAACCGTATTCATTTTGCCGGATCTCTTCCCAAGGTATTAGCCTCTATGTGGTGAAGACCGACTCTGATACCAATTGATGAAAACGGTTAGCAACACAAGAGGGGGGGTGAATTGTGTGTGTGTGAAACCGTGGCAGTTTTTCGCCGAGTTCTAGTGTGGGATAAAGGGAATTGCAAAATAGTAAAGTGCACAAGAATTTAACGAGGAAAAATCCCTTGGCTCAAAGGGATTAAAAAACCTCGACCTCCCTCGGAGGAATTTTAAACAACTTCACTAAGCAAGCCTTTGAAAGAGTTACAAGAGTGATTCTCCTAATCTACCCTTGAGCCTCCCCAACTCTATCCTCTCTAGGAAGAGTTATGCATCTCTACCTTGCGGGTAGAGAGCCTCTCAGCTTTATCACAAAGCTCTCACACACACTTAACCCGAGGCAGCTACTCTAGCTAATTAAGCCTCAATATTCCAAGTACAATATGAAAGTGAAAAGAGAAACTCTATCTAGAACTCCGAGCGGGCAGTTTCAGGTGCTAAGGACTTGATCCTTTTCTTGTATGATTCTTCTCGGTGCTTTTCTCCGAACTGCTGCCCTTTCTTGTTTATACTGCTCGAGTATATATAGTTTGGTAGAAGATGTCCGTTGATCTTCTTTTCCTTAGAAGCTTGGTAGACTTGCCTTGATATTTTGAATTACCTTCCTTATGCAATATATCTCAACGTTCAAGCAAAAGGCATATATCATTTATATTGACATTCCAATAATATACGAGATATGAGGAAGCATAACAAGGCAATAATGCAAGCATCTATTGTATGCAACGGTCAACACACTTTTCAAAATATTTATTTAGAAAATATCTTTTTATGGTCAATCAAAGCATATGCTATCAAAAAGATTCCACTCTAAGGCAACAAAGCTTTTTGCATACATATATTACAAGCTCGATCAACTAATGCAAAGATGGCAAGTATATCAAAGGAAATTTTCCTTTCTTATCATGCAGCGGTCATAACTCATTTATAGGTAAAGATTCCTTCCACACATAATTCGGATGTAACAGATACCTTTCCATAAAACGAGACCTTTAATATTAGTAAGAATACTTATGGTAAGAAAAGCTTTCTCAAATATTTGGTATCTTTTAATAAGCTCCGGTCAGCTAAGTTTAATCAAGCAATAATATTAAAGATATATTCTATAGGATATACAATCACGTATGGGAAAGTATTATGTGCAAGTTATAATATAGCACGGTACTATCGTGAGTACTAGACCAGTTCTTATCCTTTGTTCCTGCATGGTTAGTTAATCAAGTAGCTCAAATATGATTAAAGATCGGGTCTATCCTTAGTTCCTGCATGGTTAGTCATCAACAAAACAACATATTCAACATTATAATTTATAGTCCTTACCCAAATTTTCAATTAACTTTTAATTTAAAATTGGTAAACAAATGATTTCAATAATTTATTATCTCTATCATCATCTTTATTTATATTTTATTTCTATGTGTTGGAAAGAAAATGCCTATTTTTTTTGGTTGCACGTACGGTCCCCGCATACTCTTAGGACCGGCCCCGGTAATTGATACTCGTTAGATTATAAATAGACTAGTCTTTTACCCGTGCGTTGCACGAGAGAACAGATATCACACGGTGAATTGAGTAAAAATCAAAGTAAGATCGAAGTTAGTCTTCATATAATTGTTGTGTACATCGTAGAAGATCATTTTAACTATTTTTCATATAGTTTTCTCTTTATTTTATTAATAAAATATTTATTAAATACGGAATACAATTTTTTAATAATTCAGCAGATTTAACATTTTTTGCCTACACTTTATTTTATTAATATGGTCTTTTATAATTCAGCAGATTCAACCAATTGAACTAATCTTTATCTAGAATTTCATCAATTTTAGCATAACATATTCAGTCTATTCCGCAATTTTAGTGTTACCAAACGCGCTCTTAAAAGATTATTGAGGAATGTCTTACCCACTTACACTTACATTACCTATATTATCTAATGAAATGAAATTATATTTAAATTTTTCTTCTCAATAATTATACACATTCCAATATAACAGAAAACTTAGAACTCAAATTGTTATGCATATATAAAGAACGACCACCCACGGGTTGGAACTAAACCTTTCCTTTCTTTTCTTTTGATTCGTTTATTCTTATACAATCCACTGGTTAGGGAGACATGATTTAAACATAAGGAAACTAAATTTTTCTCTTACGGATATAATTTCACCTGATTTCATATATGGGTCATAGATAAAAAGAGAACAAAATAATTAAAGAAAAAAGAACACATTTTTATTTTATTTTTTGAAGGGAATTTTATTTTCTTACCATTGATATGTTAAAAATCTCAACCCAATAAATAAGAGCATACAAATGGTTTTCACTTCCATCAAAAAGGGTTTTCTCTTCTTTTCATCATTGCTGTATACGAAGTATAACATGGGATCCTAATCTTGCCATAATAGAATGAAATGGTATGCATTTCACTATTTCTTAGTTTCTCTAATGTCTTATTATAAAAGAATTTACACTTCGCAATCGAATGAATTAGTAATCTATACTTAAATTTAATTTACTTTTGCTATCATTAACATTACATATCTATATTGTAGAAATCTCCAATATTGTAGAATGCTCAAAAATAGAGATTTCAAAACACTAAGTTACATTGATGTTATCAAGTGGAGTAAAAACTAAATTTAACTATAGGGACTAAACAAAATCAGAGGGACTAATGTTAAATTTAAATTTGAATGAGTAAATATAATTAATTTTGTTCTTGATCAAAGAATAACACATTGCCATATCAGTATTACCAATTTACCATTAATAAAGTGAAAGTCAAATGTCCAGCGTGAGCAATTGGAAATAGTTCAATTACCCTTGTTTTTGTTGATCAAGATTAAACTATGTATTAATCAAATCAAAGTCCAATAAATGAGAAATATTTGAAGGAGTTGAATGAGACCAAGCCCGACAATTAGACTATTAGCTCCCGTTTCTCTAACATCACCCGCTAGAAGACCAAAAGCCGTTTGGCTTTCTCCCTTGCGAATCTCGGAGATAGCTTGAAGTGCGTCAGATTTCACCTTTAATGTAGTACACCCATGCATAAAAATCAAGACAAAGCCTCTTGAATGCATAATAACTCACCTTCCTGCTATGAACAAACCCTTCCCATGGCTTCGCTACTTGAGCTACAAATGCACTCGCAGAGTCCCGAAACACCCAGCCAAAATTCTGCCTCACCCCTCCAGTAGACACACCCGCATTAAGCTTGAAAATACCCAAAGATGAGGGTTTCCAAATGGTAGAACCCACCTGTGTAAAAGCTTTTTGACTGTTGCAATTTTTGTGCAGCAAAGCATAGGGTTTTTGAGCTTGTTTCCAGCCCTGCCGAAACAACTTTGCCCTATTAAAAAATTTGCTCCACCTGCTCCTGAACGCGTCTTCCAACACGATCATTCCAAGCCTGCTAAATTCCCCAGCAACCTATCATATTAATAAGCGGCGCTCCTCCAAGCTCCTCGTTTCAAACACCCTTTTGAACCCACCCTAGGAAAGAAGAAGCAGTAGCACCTGACACACCTCAGTTCACTTGCTTCCACACATCTCCCGCAAAGCTGCACTGGAAAAAAACATGCAATGACGTCTCGCTGCTCATTGCACACCAGCCACACGTCTCAAGACAGTCCACACCTCTTCCCAACAGCGCTGCATAAGTTGGGAGACACCCAGAGCAAACCTGTCAAAAAAACATTTGATTTTAGGAGGCAAACAACGATTAAAGACAATTAAGTTCAGCTATCCTTTTTAATTTGAAGTAGTCATTAAAGACAATTAAGTTCATCTGACAACAATTACATCACTTGAAGGATTCTTTACATTAACATGAAATGTATATCAGTGAGTTTCCAAATTCAACACTTCATTTTTCTTAGTGCGCTTGAAATTTAGGACATATATATTCATAACATGAGGCCTTTTAGTGCAAGACTTTTCTATACACCCTTCCCTCTTGATAGTGTAAATTTCTTTGATTAAGAGAACATTAGTAGGAACTGAAACAAATGAAAGGGACTAATATTAAGTTCGATTTTAAATGGGTGAACATAATTAGTTTTGTAATTGACTAATAGTAAGACCTTACCATATCAACAACATAGTCGTTCGAATTGTGAAATGTAAATAGCTAAAGCCTAAATAACTTGAAGTATTCAGCTAGTGACTTTAAAACTGCAAGAGTTAGTGAAAACCCAATGAAATTAACCTATAGGAACATTAACACAAATGGATTACTGCCATTGGGTATACCCTTTTTGAAAAATAATGGAGAGTTTATGCTAGTTAAAAGGGAACACTGTATTTTTGTAACTAAAGTCATATATGAAGTAACACTTTCTCATTGATATATTTCTTAAGAAGTGAGAATGAAATAATCAGTCCCTATTCTTTCCATCATGTGCTCTAAAATGTCATCTAAAAAGGAGATGAAAATTACGAGGGAAATGCATTTTTATTTCATATACCATTGTTCTCTGGGTTGAAATTGAAATGCATGTAATTCACATGTCACACACACAAATCTAAAACTGCATTCTATATAGGGAAGGAGCTCCACTTTTTTAATTAAGCATGAATACAAAGTAAAGTGTACATGTGGACACCTTTATTTTCATTCCTTAAACTAAACTTGTTTTTTGCATCCTTTATTATCATTAGAGAATTAATTAAGATGTCTAGGTCTCTAGGAGTCAAAAAAGCTTGCAGTATATACTATATGAAAAAACTGTATCTATTCACTACTTGTAATCTTAGTGTTCTCAAATCATACTCTGAAAAGACAGATAAATTGCATTTTTAAGCATCTTGACTCACATACGTGAGCATTCCTATTTCCAAATAATCAAAGAGGTTCATGTAACCTTCTTATACATTGCCACTAAAACCATCCCACAGAGCTTTTTATTGCAGAAGTAGTGCATAGTTTGCAATATACCAGTGCAATTGTCTGATTTTAATTTGTTCAATTTGCATCCACTTCAAAGAAGACCTCACAAATAATTTATCACCATAGAAACTACTCTTTTACATATGAAGACACGTTGATTCTATACTAATAGTCAAGTTTTTAAGAGTAGTATGTCATAACCCTCCTACTCTCCCATAATAAAATGTAGAGCATATTAATAAATAAATCTAGTTCAGACTATTCTAATTAAGAGCTAGGTAATACTACCTCCGTCCCTCTTATACTAGAATGGAAGAGAGTGTCACGATTATTAAGAAAAATGAGTTTGTGTAGTTGATATTAATTGATATAGTAAGAATAAGGTAAGAATGATTTAGAGCCGCATAAACTTTACCAAATATGGTATGAGACAATTTTAGTAGGATTTCCCGAAAAGGTAAAACGGGACATACAATATTAAGGGGACGGAGGGAGTAGCTATTAATATTTTTTTCAAAAAAAAAACAATCAATACATTGTTGACGATTATGGAAATTCCTCCAAAAATATCTGTATATATTGTATTTTTTTTAAATAGTATAATCACAAAATGATACAGTGGTTCCGTCCTGTATTAAAATGTCATGTTACTGAATGATGGTAGGATATATAATTTACAACTAAGTTATACTATTTGATCCGTTGCCACCCTAATTAATATGATCAATTAGACCCTCCTCTAAAGGCTCTAATAACTATTGATGTCCATTTGTATTACTGTGTTCAACAACTTAATTAGGTAGGATAAAAAAAGAATCCGATCCTTGTCTATCAAATAACTACATAAGTATTTAACAAATTGGTATAACCTCACAAGTGTGTTATTAGGTTTTGGGTCAATTTATAATTTATAGTCCTTACCCAAATTTTCAATTAACTTTTAATTTAAAATTGGTAAACAAATGATTTCAATAATTTATTATCTCTATCATCATCTTTATTTATATTTTATTTCTACTTGTGTTGGAAAGAAAATGCCTAAGTTTTTTGGTTGCACGTACGGTCCCCACATACTATTAGGACCGGCCCCGGTAATTGATATGATACTCATTGGATTATAAATAGATTTGATTTGCTTGTTCGTAAGGATATTAAAAATGGGAAAGTTTCCGAAATAGGATTAAAATAGTTCGAAAATTCCAAAATAGAGCTGTCATGTTTTTTATTCCCAAAATAAGAGTAGTTACTGCCAAGTTTGGAAAATATTATCATGTTTGAAGTCGATCTGATACTGCCAAAATATGACAGTAATTAGTCCTATTTTAATATTAAAAAACATGACAGTCTTATTTTAGAAAATAAAAGAGATATATCTCCTTTATTTAGATAGTACGTACGTACATGCAACAGCGCAACACTAATCATAGTGAATAGTTTATTCAATTCATTCATATATACGGAGTACCATCCATTGATCATCAATCACAATCGCAACTGTACGTAGCCAAGACTGCAGACACATATGTACTGCATCTTATTTCAACACCACACCCAATAGGAACAACACCAAACTAACAGCATATGCATATGCATTTATTTCCAGCCTTATTCATGCATGCGAGAAGAACGGAGTGGTCAGAGTCTCAGAGACGATTAAGTAATAGTGATAATTGCCTCAAGAATGGGGGAACTGTCCTGCCCAATGCTCACAGTCGAGTAGAGCCCCAGGTTGAAGCTGCTTTCCGCCGTTGACATTGAATCCAGCTTCTTATAGATATCATCCCAACTCGATAAGCTTCCTGCCTTCGCAATTTCCGTGTACACCTGCACCATTATATTTGAGCATGTTCACATTTGAGCTTTTCGTCTTAAATGAGATTCGAACTCTTTACAACTATCGCTTAGGGGATATTTATACTAGTTTTAGATGAGGCGATGCATTTATTGCACGTGTTGACTATTTTATGGGCGCGCGGGAACCCTGATGCGTTGCAAAGTGACGCATGTCATTCTGGCTAGGTGGCTTCTATTGGCCGAGGTGATGTGGGCCGAGGTGCAAGTGCACCTTAGATATGGTGTTCTTCCTTCTCCTACTTAGTGTCATGGGTGCTTTTAATCATGAGTGCTAAACAAGCATTTAAACCACACTTGGACTTGACTATGAGAGGCTAGCTATAGACAGGTATACATAGCATAAATTAAGAAGCTAAGGTAGTAAGGTCGGTAAATACTTGATTATCGGAACCAGGAGCCCAAGGATCATCCCAAGCAATTACAACCTCGGCATTCTCACCGGCGGTACCCTCATTGGCTTTGACACGGTAAACCACGGCGGCTTCGGAGCCGGAAGCAACGACGGGGCTTTTGATGTGCAAGAATCCCGCCCACTGCCCGTTCTGGATGATCTTCGGGTAGGAGGCCCCGGCGTCGGTATACAGCTTCCCATACCAGTCTTTGGAGGTGGAGAAGTAGAGGTTCTCGCCGGTGGCGTTGTAAATGGTGGCTAAAACCGAAATGCCGTCCCCATAAGACTGTTTCTGATTCTTCACGTAGTCGGTCACCTGCGTGTGTTTGTCGTCGCCGTTGATCAGTGCGTAGGCCGCACTCGCTCTCGTTTCCCTGTCCGGGTAATCGAGAACCGTGATTGCCTTCCCAAACACGTTCGAAGCAGACATGCTAGCTGATCGCCGGCCGCCGGAAAGTTGCTATTAATTGAATTATTTATATGATTACTAGCTGCTGGCTAATGGAGATGAATTATGCATGATCACTTAAGGAAAGTAGTCTATTTATACACTGCATGTCTGCATGGTGTATCGCGTACGTGCTCAATAATTCGCTTTTCTGGGCCCTGGAGAGTAATTGATGAATGAGCGAGGACAAATAATGTGAGCTGTCAACTTGTACGATGTTTCACATGCCACAGAGTTCAATCCTTATCTCCATTAATCACTCATTCTACGCCGGCCAAGTGGCCAACTACTCATATACGGAGTATGATCATATCGAGGGCAGATTCATGATTTCAATTCAGGATCAAAATTTTCAAATATACTCCGTATAAATTTGGCCAAGTTTGACCAGTACGGAGATTATTAAAGTAAAAATTGTGTGATTGAATCTTTGTGAAGAGTAAAAATTGTGTGATTGAGCCTTTGTGAAGAGGAGAGAGAATTAACTGGATGTCTGGAATATAATCACAAATTCCTTAAAGGGAAAATGACAAAATTAGTGGGACAACGAAAAACTGACAAAGTTCTAAGGGACATAAGGAGTAATTATAGTTTCATAAAAAAGGGAAAATACAAAAATTTACTATCGTATTTTACAAGTGTTTACGGTAAGGGAAATTTATCGGAATATGACTAAAACATATTGAATTTTCCTCAATATGACTAGCTATGTTTTTGGACATTTTTTCCCGGTTCAAACCACACGAGGTGAGGGGGTGACGGGGGAATACCTTCCCAATTATGAAATACAAATAAAGTTGACAGTGTATTATTTGATGAAATTGAAAGTTCAATAGAAATAAAGCAAAATAAGGAAAAAATTACATTAGCATTTGAATATTTTTGAAGGAATTCCAATATATCCGTAGTATTAATTAAAATAAAATTGCCATGCGAGAACTGTCAATGTTTTTGTTTCTCTTGTTTGTTCGGAAGACAGGCTCCATTTTGGGATGTACACATATACATCTACCTTGCTTCACGGATCCGGAGCCTCTACCTTACTTTAGAGTAAGGTAGGGTGTCTTGCTTCTTGCGGGTCGTCCGATCAACAATTCAACGGTCGGAGATCTTGGACTCCACTTTTTCACTAATCTCGAGGCCTGCTTTGCTACTGCCCGACCATCCGATGCGCAAGGCACCGTCCTAGTCGGGCTGAGGATCCCAATCCTTCCTTCACAACGTTCAATTTTTATTTTTCCATGGCAGTGGATCTTACTTACACACTACATACATTGGAGCTGAGGAGAAAATATGTAGGATGTTTTTACTTAATTTGCTGGTCTGGTCTGATCTGGACTGGTCTGGTAATGTCTGGTCTCTAATGTATTTTTATAACTATCCAAGTCTGGCCTGATCTGATCTGGTCTGGTCTGGGACGAATTACAGTCTAAGTAAAAACATCCGTAGTCTAGGTCTAAATTCAGAGCCGGCCCATGACATGTGTAGGCAGTGCAGGCATAGAGCTAAGGAAAAGTAATGGGCCAAAAAGGTATTGTTATAATATAATTAGAGCCTAATAGAAAAAGGGAAATTATCACGAATAGACTTAAAGGTGAAAGAAATATCACTTTTGTCACTCCAATTTATTTTTCAAAGGTAGACTACCAAATTTTTTCTTTCAAAAATAGACATTGGTTCCGCATCCACGGCTTGCAGTGGAGTTCCGTATGAGCAGTGGAATTCCTGCACACAAACTCTAAAAATTAGAAACATCAAAAGGATGTAAATAATTGGAAGCATAATTATAGTCTTAAAAATAATTAGAAACTAAAGAAAAAAATTATAAGTAAAAATAAATTAAAAGTAAAAAAATAAAAAATGTTGTAATACAAATGCCAATTGAACCTATTAGTTAAATAAAAAAAGCAACGACCAAAATGTAAAATAAGTTAACATATTCTGAGATATAAAATATATGAAAAGTAGTTAGATTTTTTTTATGAAAGATGATTTTTTTTTAAAATAGGACTATAGGCTGAGTAACCAATCTTTTACATTCAAATAAACACATACTCCGTAAATTTTAAAATATTCGAGAAATTTGTATTATTTTTTTTAAAATTAGAAAATTTAATGTAAACTGTACTATAAAGCGTGTGAAATATTAAAATCTGAAAACCTAAAAATTGTAGACAGAATATGTAAAATACGATAACATGCTCTGAATCTATTAAAAATATGAAAAGCATTTAAATTTTTTTATAAAAAGAGTAAATTTTAAAAAAGCCGGAATATATTAAAACTAAAAATCTAAGAAATTTTATTAAATACATAAATTTGAAAAATTCAAATTCAAAAAGTAATATATATATATATATATATACAATCAAATAAAATGAAAACCAAAAATAAATTCTTAAATTATAAAAACATTAATAAAAAACTTGTAAAAATAAGAACTCGGACATAAAAATGTGAAAAATGAAAACAAAACGAATATATATACTCCCTCCGTCCCAAAAACAACTTCCCACTGTCCTTAAATGGATGTCCCAAAATTAACTTCACTCTTTAATACTTTCCTTATTTGGCAAATTATCTACATCAAAAAAGTGATAAACAGTGTCAAACAGTGTTTAAACAGTGCAAAAACAGTGCACTCTACAGTAAAGTCAAATTTATTTTCTAAAAGTGTGTGAAAGTCCAACTGGGAAGTTGTTTTCGGGACGGAGGGAGTATATATATATATATATATATATATATATAGGGATGATATCATATGGGGAAAAAAAAAAAAAATATAGGGATGAGATCATATGAGAATGACATCTAATGAGAGAAATAAGAATCAATTAGAGCCCTTGGATCCAAAGATTATTTCTCTTAAGCTGATTATTCGTGTAGGGGTAGTACTGTCATTCACTCAGATCTCCTTCCAAATTACAATATCTGAGTACAACTTTCCTCGGCCGTTTATGTCTTCTCTCGGACTCTCTGCCTTCCATATCTCATTTGTCCTCTACGATATGTCTTTCACTAGTACTTTGTCGCCTTTCATCGTAATCGATCTTCCAACCGAGGTATCCAGGTCACCCTCCTTCGTCTTTCATTTTCGATGAGAACAAATTTGCTTAACGACTTCATCTTCTTCGTATGGAAGTGTTTTTCAATTGATTAAATTTGTAATTTAATTGTTTATATTTTATACTTGTTGAATTTATGTGGATCGATACCCCACTACATGTTTCTGCATATTTTTCATTGTGTTCCCTATCATACGTTTTCTCTAAATGATTCTTCTTATCCCCTGAAGATATAGTGTTTTTTTTTTTGAAATTTAGAGTTTTAATATGATTTTATGTTGTTGTATCGAACATATGTTTCTGCATTCTACCGTTGTTGTGTTACTTGAGGTTTTTAGTTTTAATCTGATTTCATGTTGTGATTTGAACTACCACAGTTTACGTCGTGCACTTTCCTTCCTTTTAAGTGCACTTGTACCTGATAATCTGCTAATATACCTTAATCTTGCTAATATACCTTAATGTTACACTTTCCAGTTTTGAGTGTACTAAGTTTTTATCTATTTATGCATTTGATTGATACATGATATTTATATATTTGTAGATTCTACTTACGAGTTCCGGTGTTCCGATTCTACGCCAAACTCTTGTCATTCATATAAATTTGAAATTTCTTCAAACTTGGCCAAGTATTGGATTCTTGATTGCGTTGAGATTTGAATTGTAAGCCTTATGTTGGTATGGTTTTCAAAAATGTTGCTATCGAGGTTCAATTCTATAAACAATTTGTAGTTCTTTATGACTTTGATTTTCGTAATAGCACCCTCAAAAAAGAGTATTGACAGTTTTTATGTGTGGAATTATGTTTTGTGTAACAGAGATGGATTCCAATTTCCAAATCAACCGAGACCTGATAGTGGTGAATCCAACAGTGGCGTAGGTGATGAATTGAAGCCGTAAACATGGAATCAAGAACTTCTGACTGTGTGAATATTCATGATTGTAATGAGGAACAGAAAAGTTTGGAACCAGAAGCTACTAATTCCAACAATCATGCATTACTCAATTGCTTATGAATGATATTCTTTTAATGCTTGAAGTACCTCTCTTATGTACTTGCATGGTTGTAAAGTGTTTTCTTTTGTGATTACACAAAACTGTCCTTTTGGTTACAATGTAGCTCCCTCTTTTCACTTTTAAGTTTATTTTTCAGTCATACATTACACAACTGAAAGTGCATATTAGCTTTAAAGAAAGATATAATTGCAGCTGCATGAACGTTATTGTGGTGTTAAACACTAAACCAAATCAAAATTGCTAAATCCAAAACCATAGATATAATTGCAACTACATAAATGTCATTGTGGTGTTAAACACCAAACAAAATATGTCAACTTCCAAAATTTATCAACACCAAACCAAATCCAAAACAAAACCAAGTGAAATTGTTTAAATGCATCTTGACATCACTTGTTTACTTTTTCATCTTTCCAAACTCTCTAGCTTCACTCAAGTTTCTTGCCATGATCTCATTCAATTCCGTTTTTCCCTTTGTCTCTCTTCACAGTGTGCAAAGTTCCACCCTCACAAGTCACAACCTACACAATATATTTCAAAGCACTTTTATATAACACAATATTCACTTTTTAAAGGTTAGAACAATAATTGAATAATTTAGTTGACCTTTCACTAAATGATGCACATTGTAGTTGCGTTTACTGCATATAAACATACTCAAGCACTTATGCATTGTTTTTCTGCACAATGCACTTATGTGAATCTCAACATACACAATTTTGACAAATTGTATACTCCTATGATGAGTAAGAAAACTCAATGCATATTTACATAGCAAATATGTACTTCTAAAAGGGTAGGGATGCCATTCAATAAGTTAAATTACCTTTCACTAAATGATGCTCATTGTATTAAAATTTAATGCACTTATATATTAAAAACTGGTACACAACCTTCACATCTCCATGACTAATCAAGTTAAAATATTATCATATGCTCTAAACAATTCACGCGAATATCAGGGTATTATAACTTTTTAGAGGGATACTCATTTTAGTGGCCTACTATTCAGCACATTA